AAAGTAATCCCAGTAGCAGGGCTGAGAGGAAAGAGAAGACACACTTTCTCAACTCTCTACCTCAAACATACACACACGCTTACATCACAGGCTTGAGCCACAGCAAGGACAAAGCCAAGGACACTCAGGATGTGAGCAGTCACAGGCAGAACACCCTCCCACCGAAAACTCACGGTTGCAGCTCTTGCCATCTGCCTGGAGCTGCCGCCCCTCAGGGCACAGGCATCGGTAGGACAGGCCTTCGCTCACACATTGGAATGCACAGCCATGGTCCACACCATTGCAAAGGTCCCGAGCTAAAAGGAGAAAGAGGTCAGGACGAGTCACAGTGGGCCCCTGACCCCCACACAAACGCAGGAGACGCTTCCTAACCCTGGCAACTCCTCCCATCGGGCAGCAAGTCATGGCCCTGTCTGCAGCGGCAGCGGGGCCCACGGGCGGTGCTGACACACTCATGCTGACAACTGTGGTTCCCGAAGCTGCAGTGGTCCACGGCTGGTGGGAAGCAAGAGAGTGAGGTGTCACCTCTGACTGGAGATGGGAGTCGGGGTGCTGGAGGAGGGGGTGTTCACTCACCTCTGCAGCTCCTTTGATCCCGCCGGAGCACAAAGCCAGCTCGGCAGTGACAGGAATAGGAACCTGGAGAGCTGACACATTGATGTTCACATCCATGGGTCCCTTGGGCACACAGGTCAATGGCTGAGGAAAAGGGGAGCTCAGCATATGTCCTGGGGCTGCCCCTCTCAGCCCTGACGGCACAACCACCTGAAGCTTTAAAACATACCTGTGCCCAGGTCTCAAACATTACAGATCCAGATGTAATTGTGTTGGGGGGGACCCGGTGTTGTTAGGTGCCTTCCATTCAATTTTGACGCATAGTAACCTCATATGACACAGCAGAACTGCCCAGAGGATGCAATCTGTACAGACACAGATCACCAGCTTGTTCTCCTGTGGAGTCACTGAGTGGGTTCGAACCACCAACCTTTTGTTAACCTCGAAGTACTTAATCATTGTGCCACCAGGGCTCTTTGGCTTGTTGCTGTTATTGTTAGGTGTCACCGAGTTGGCATCTCACAACAACAGAATGAAAGGCTGCCCAGTCCTGCATCATCCTCACAACTGTTGCTACGCTTGAGTTCATTGTTGCTGTCACTGTGCCAATCCATCTTGTGGGGGGGTCTGTCCTTGGTCCCTCCTGACAACATGTCCAAAGTATGAGAGACAAAGTCTTGCCATCCTGGCTTCTAAGGAGCACTCTGGCTGTACTTCTCCCAACACAGATTTGTTTGTTCTTCTGGCAGTCCATGGCATTTTTAATATTCTCCTCCAACACCATAATTAAAATGAATCGATTCTTCTACGGTCTTCCTTATTCATTGTCCAACTTTCACATGCCTATGAGGCAACTGAAAATACCATGGGATGGGTCAGGCACATGTTAGTCCTCAAAGTGATATCTTGGCTCTTTGACACTTTAAAGAGGTCTTTGGCAGCAGATTTGCCGAATGTAATATGTTGTTTGACTTCTTGGCAGCTGCTTCCATGAGTGTTGTTTGTAGATCCAAGAGGCTGCTTCAGTCTTCTCTCCATTTATCTTGATGGTATTTATTGGTTCCACTGTGAGGATCTTTGTTTTCTTTACACTGAAATGCAATCCATACTGAAGGCTGTAGTCTTTAATTTTCATCAATATTTTAAGTCCTCTTTGCTTCCAGCAAGCAAGGTTGTATCATCTGCATATCACAGGTTGTTAATGAGTCTTCTAATCCTGATGCCATGTACTCCTTCATATAATACAGCTTCTCAAATTATTTGCTCAGCATACAGATTTAATGTTACTGATGTTGTTAAGTGCTGTCAAGTCTGTTGCGACTCATAGCAACCCTATATAGTGCTTCCGATAAGTATGGTGAAAGGATAGAACCCTGACACACACCTTTGCGGATTTTAAACCATTCGGTATCCCCTTATTCTATTCAAACAACTGTCTCTTGGTCTATGTGCAGGTTCCTAACAAGCACAACTAAGTGTTCTGTAATACCCATTCTTCCCAATACTATCCATAGTTGATTATGATTCATACTGTCAATGCCTTTGCATAGTCATTAAAGCACAAATAAACATCTTTCTGGGAGTGCAGTAGGATAAGCATTGGACTGTGGGCTACAAGGTCAGTGGTTCGAACCTACCATCTGCTCTACAGGTAAAAGATGGGACTTTGGGTTCCTGAAAAGATTTACAGCCTCAGAAACCTTATACAGGGTCGCTATGAGTCAGAATTGACCCGACAACACTTAACACCACCAACAAAAACATCTTTCTGGTATTCTCAACTTTCAGCCAAGATCCATCTGATAGCAGCAATGATATTCATAGGTCCATGTCCTCTCCTGCATCCTGCTTGAAGTTCTGACAGCTCCCTGTTGATGTAGTGCTTCAATCATTTTTGAATGATCTTCAGCAAAATTTTCCTTGCATGTGATATTGTTTCATGATTTCTGCATACCATTGGGTCGCCTTTCTTTGACATGGCTACAAATATGGATCTCTTACAATCAGTTGGCCACATAGCTGTCATCCAAATTTCTTGGCATACATGAGTGAGTACCTCCAGTGGTGCATCAGTTTGTTGAAACATTTCAATTTGTATTCCATCAACTCCTGGAGCCTTGCTTTTCACCAATGCCTTCAGTGCAGCTTAGACATCTTCCTTCAGTACCTTGATCACATGCTACCTCTTGAAATGGTTGCACATCAACAATTCTTTTTGGTACAGTGACTCTGTGTATTCCTTACATCTTCTTTTGATGCTTCCTGCATCATCCAATATTTTGTGTTTAGAATTCTATTTTGCAACTTGATGCTTGGATTTCTTTCTTTAGTTTTTTCTCAACTCAAGAATTGCTGATCACGTTCTATCCTTTTGGTTTTCTAACTCCAGGTCTTTGCACATTCCATTATAATATTTTGTCTCCTTGACCTGCCCTTTGAAATTTTCTGTCCAGCTCTTTTCTTTCCTCATTTTCTCCAGTTGCTTTAGCTTCTCTATGCTCAAGAACAAGTTTCAGAGTCTCTTCTGACATCCATTTTTATCTTTTCTTTCTGTCCTGT